TTTTGTTTTCTGATCCTGACGTGAGCTCGTTTCCACAGAGAACGTCAAAGTGCCTCTATCTAGACGAGCTCTGTTTGTGGGTCCGGGAGGATTCAATCTGCGCAGACTGCAGGCTCAGACAGGTGTGTGTGTGAGCGTGTGCGTGTGCGAGTGCGAGAGCGTGTGTGAGTGTGTGAGTGTGTGCGTGTGTGAGTGTGTGTGTGAGTGTGTGTGTGTGTGTGAGCGTGTGCGTGTGCGAGTGCGAGAGCGTGTGAGTGTGTGTGTGAGTGTGTGTGTGTGTGTGAGCGAGTGCGAGAGCGTGTGTGAGAGTGTGTGTGTGTGTGTGTATATATATATATAAATACATGGGTGATTCTATAATTGGAGATACATTTGGCATTGCAGAAAGTTAAGAAAAAAAACTTTTCACTAACAGATTTTTTTTTCAGTATCTTATTGAAAACATATTTAATTTTAATAATTCAGTGCTTGCCAAACACAAGTTACTTCCTTTTTTTTTACTTTTAATGAAAAAACATTAGATGTCTTTATGGTATTGTTTGTCAACTCTGTTACGGACAAATTAGCCAATGTGTAGAAATAACAATAAATCATAACAGGAAAAATCCTTCTTGTTTCATTAGACAAACAGTCCTTACATTCCATCACTTGAAACTGAGATAATATTTCACCTATGCATACCTTAAAAATAAAAATAAAAACCTATGTCTTCACAGAATTGTCCGCTTGGAGCAAATATTTTTCATCTGAAAATGTATTATATGCAATATCCAGTTAAAAAAAGAAATGTTGGTGAAATATTATAAGGGTGCAAAAATGAATGAATAATGTTTATTAGATTTTAAACAACAAATGTATTGTTTTTTGTGAAAATAGTTCATAAACAGAGTTGACCCTGTAAGTAACAGAACTGACAGAATTGTCTGATGGATGTTACCGGTGGACACAGTTGCTTGCCTGCTTGTAAATGAGCAGAATGGCCTCTTAGGGGAAAGAATAATGATGAGATAACATTGGTTGGGGATTGATGAATTTGGATTTATTTGTGTTCAAATATAAATAATGTAAACATGTATATAAGTAACTTTGAACATTTGCACTGCAGTAATGTAAGCATGTAAATATAAATAACTGTAATACAGTGTTAAACATTTTCTGTACAGTGATGTTGTGTACATACAAAACAACTTTGATACAATATTAAACAATTCTTTGTCTTGTTTTTGTTTTTTTTGTTTACATCTGTAGGCATATTATCCAAATATCATGCCAATGTTAGTTTTAATTCATTTGATACAGACTGTTGCCTATAATAAAGCAACTTGAATGAGAGTTTTGCTTATTGAACTGTTCTAACTAAATAATTGTGTGTGATTGCCGCTCCATATGTTAGTATGTCATCATAGATTTAACCTGTTTAAACCAAGAGACTTTGTGTGGTGTTACTCTTAAAGACCTGTATTTCAGAGGACATCAACATGGATAATCCTTGTGGAAATATGTTCATTGATAATGTTGATGTTTTAAAACAAGATTATGAGGAATGCTCTTTGTTGTGCAGCAGGATTTTTTTTTTGTTGTTGGTCTTCTTTGTTTGGTAATATCTCTTGTATGGAAACTGCCAAATAAGTTCTGCATCAATAACAAAATGAAGGAAGTGTCTTACAAAATAATTAATAGAATTGAACCCGCTAAGCACGTTTTGGAAAGATTTGAGCTCAATATTTCATATACCTGTGAATTTTGTGGTCACGAAAAAGAAACTATTTTGCATCAATTTTTTCCACTGTATTTACGCAGGATTATTTTGGAAGGATTTATAATTCTTAGTGTTCATTTAAAGATGTGTTGCAATACTGTGAGTGTTTACACAGTTGCAGGGTGAAGGGCGGGGGCTAGTCTCCGGCCGACAGGCGGCGCTGATGAGCGTCTGGCCGCAGCGCAGCGCATCCGCGGCTGCTCGGTTCTTCCACATGTGCAGCAGCAGCGTGAGGCTAAAGATCGAGTCTTGTTTTTAATCTTTCTCTTCTTTTTCACTTGAAGTCCACATTCATGCAAACTGGATTTCTGTCGTGGCTTCGTGTGTAACGCGTGATGAAGAACCGCAGTGCTTATACTATAGACCCGAGACTCAAACACAGAGTCCATCAGGTAAAATTAAAGCTATTGTTATTACCATCGTGTAAATAGCAGTGACATTATAAAGCACAATAACTAATAAGTAAGTAAGTAATCTGAAGAAAGAGGGAATTTAAAATGTGCAATAAATAATACGTAAGGATATATGTGACCCCTGGAGCACAAAATCAGTCATAAGGGTCAATTTTTCGAAATTGAGTTTTATAGATAATCTGAAAGCTGAATAAATAATCTTTCCACTGATGTATGGTTTGTTAGGATAGGACAATATTTGGCTGAGATACAACTATTAGAAAATCTGGAATCTGAGGGTGCAAAAAAATCTAAATATTGAGAAAATCATCTTTAAAGTTGTTCAAATTAAGTTCTTAGCAATGCATATTACTAATCAAAAATTAAGTTTTGATATATGTACAGTAGGACGTTTACTAAATATCTTCATGGAACATGATCTTTACTTAATATCCTAATGATTTTTGGCATAAAAGAGAAATGTATAATTTTGACCCATACAATGTATTGTTGGCTATTGCTACAAATATACCCCAGCGACTTAAGACTGCTTTTGTGCTCCAGGGTCACACATATATCAAAGTTTTAGAGCTCAATCTGATCGCTAATGATTGTAATGTAAGTTACTACTTAATGATTTTAGTTAGTTTTTTTTTTTACCGGCTTGTTTTGCTGTTCTTCTTTCTCTCTAAAACTTTTCTAATGTAATCTTTTGTCTGCTTTGTCTTCAATGCCATCGGACTGGCAGCAGTCACTGCTTCATGTGTTTCTGATATAGAGATCAACACGGACTTGACTTGAGCATGCTGCTGAAACCACATGATGTATTTTGATGGTCTGGAGTGATGGGTTTCCATTGGTCTGGAGTCAATACCGTAACTGTCCGTCTCTGTCTGTTTCAGTACCTGAAGGCACACAGTGACCCGTATGTGGACATCTCTGCCATGGCCTCGGAGCTTCAGCAGCAGTTCAGGTGAGTCTCGTCCGCTCTGTGACCGAGAACGCGCTCAGACTAACAGACCTGAGACTGATGTGCTTGTGATCTGAGCAGGATCGAGTACGGCCGGAGGAACAGGACGGCGTTCAGGATTCAAGTGGAGAAAGGTCTGGCTCACTTGTATGCTGTTTTGTTGTTGATGAAGCTATTACCTTGACAATGCCTTGTGACGTGTGTGCAGTGCATGCGGTGATCTGCAATGAGTCTGGTGTCTCTGCTCTGGAAAACCAACATTTGGCCAAAAGAGCGCGACGCAACCAAGAGGACGGGTGAGATACGGCGGTCACATCTATTACATCCGTTTTACACTCACTCAACGCTTTCTAACTCTGCTTTGTGCTGATGGTTTTCAGGGACGACAGTCACGTCACCGAGTACGACAGCGAGGACGATATTCCCGAACATGAAGTAATTGGGTTTGCCTTTACAGTCTGACTACAAAATCCAGAAACATCAGGTCTGACTTTAGGTGAGATGTGGTAAATGCTTTCGTTTTTTCAACAGCATACAAATCACATGAACAGCTCGCTGACGTCCCTCTATCAGAGAGCAGCGTGCAGCTCGAGCCTGCAGAAGAGCGGCTGGATCATCGATAAGACCGACAGAGAGCAGGAGAACATCTTCATCGATCTGTGTGAGGACGAGTCCTCCAGCACGGCGGTAAACACCAGCAGTTTGGGTCTTTCGTGAGCGACATGTTAACGTTTAACACACAGTAATTGCTGATGTTTGACACGCATCCACATTTCTTTCCATCTGCTTTGGAGATTTGGATGAACTCGCTCACCAGTGAATGGGTGCCGTCAGAACGAGAGTCAAACAGCTGATAAAAACATCACAATAATCCACAGCACTCCAGTCCATCAGTTAACATCTGGAGAAGACAAAAGCTGAAACAAATCCAGCATTAAGACGTTTTTAACTCAAATACGAGTCCATAATAACTCTTCCTGCAGTGAAAAAGTGCATCTGCTGTTGTCTCTCACATCAGAATCCAGCCACATATTTGTTTAGAGCTGTTTAAACGCTGCTTGATCTGTGCAGATTTCTCTCCTGATTCACACCAGAACACTGTTTCACTGGAGGAAGCGTTATTATGGACTCGTATTTGAGTTAAAAACGTCTTTTTTTACAAACATGCAGCTTTTGTCTTCACAAGATCTTAACTGCAGTGGCGTGGATTATTGTGATGTTTTTATCGGCTGTTTGATCAAACGAAATGTAGCTACTTTATCCCACGGAAGACGGATGAACTTCTGTAGATGTGTTTGGAGGGAAAAAACAATTCCAAAAGAGAGTCCGATTTCATTTATTATGTATGCAATTGTATCACCGTCCTTTATTAATACTGTCCATAGCATTTCCAGAATTGATATGTCCATGCACGTTAAAAAAGACCAAAATGCAGCATGGGGTGCGTTTCCTTTTGCGTCTCGCGGATCTCACCTCAGAATGTGTTTTCAGAAGCAGAGAGATTCATCAAAGCTGGAGAAGGAGAAGACGTCAAAGAGCGGAAAACTGAAGAGAGCGAAGAAGAACAAGCACGACGTGGAGGCAGAAATCACTGCCGGAGTACAGGCTAAAAAGAGTCAGTGAAACTCTCACACACGTGACATCTGCTATAGTCATCAAAGCGGGAATCTCCGCATGTGCGCGTCTGTCACAGTGGACAGAAACCTTTTTAGGACCATTAAGATAATGCAGTGCAAAAAGCAATTTTGTCATTTAAAAAGAAAATAATAATAATATAATTGCCTATAATATAATGTCATATAATATATA